TCGTTTTCCATATGAGTATGATAAATAAGTATTTTTACATTGTTTTGCAACAGCTTGTTTTGTTTTATCGCTTTTATTAGTGTACAGCTCATTGACTTTTTTTTACAGAGCCTAGCAGTTGTCACGAGAGAAAGTATGATGGCAAATGCCAATCAGCAACAAGTAGGGATACAGATATGTTGCAAAGCACAGTGGCAAGTATTTGATAACACAGAGAAAAGTGCAATGATGTGTCAACAATCAGGAATTAAAGTGGAACTACAGACACCATGATTTCACCACAGCTCCAGCTGTATTTCCTTAGCATTGCCTTTTATGTTTTTACAGTACATTGATTTCATAAAAACATCATATATTTTTGTCTATGAAGGTTCTCATTTATCCAGGTCATGGTATATCTGTAAAAAAAAAAAAGTCAAGGCAACTGGACTTGCTGTATTTTGTTTGAAGACGTTTCACTGATCATCTGACCAGCTTTCTCAATTCAGAATGACTTGTACAAAAATTATCTGGGAATAAATATGGTGAATGCTGCTCCAATCCACATAATCTATTAATCGCAACCAGGTGTTGATTGTATTTGCATAATTGGAGCTGGGATGTGTAGTTAACCTGCCCAGAGAGAGTTGTTAAAGCAGCATTGTATGTGGCAGACACTAGATGTCTCTCCCCTATTCAAGCTTGGCTTCTCTATTTTTAGATAAATGGCCTCTTTCACACCTCTTTTAAATCAGTCCTTACCAATCAGGGAGGAGGACAGGGAGGAGGACTGGTTGCCAGTTGCCTTGAATTATTTTTTACAGATATATCATACTAAACACTATCTGAATAGAGTTTGCATGCTCCTAATGTGCTTTTGGGGGGTTTCCTCCGGGTGCTCTTCCCACACTCCAAGAATATGCTGATAGACAAATTGACTCTTGTTGTCACGATACAGTGCATGGGTGTCCCCACACCGCATGCAGGTATCTATACAGGTGAACCAAATACGTGACCACACCAAACAATGCTTATGAACAATAGTTTATTAGCTACTCTAAAAACACCACAACCATAAGCAACCCTGCCAACACCCGCAAGTAACATATAAAAGCCTAACTTATACAAATGACAAATTACACACCAGAGACAACATGGGGAGCAGGACAACAAGAGGGGAGCCACTGATCTGTGGTAAGGGTAAGGAGTCAGGTCAGGGTTCAAGGCAGGAACAGGAACAATACTGAGGCCCAGGCCTGACTGCAAGGAGAGGCTAAATACTCTCCCAGATCAGCACCAGGTGGCGACTAACTTTGATTGCTGGGACACCCGCAAGTGAGCACTGGAACTGCAGGACCTGGTTCTAGCGTCAAAGTGCCACCTGGAGGTGCTCAGGTCCCTGACAGCTACTGGCTGCCTGGAGACACCTGCAGATGTGCACTGGAACTGCACTATCTGGTTCCAGCGCCACATTGCCACCTGGAGGTATTGTGGTCCCTGACACTTGTCTAAATTGGCCCTAGTATGTTTGCATGTGAGGTAAGACTTTGGAATGTAAGCTCCTTGGGGGCAGGGACTGATGAGAATGAATAGTATGTAAGCGATGTGTAAATCAATGGTGCTATATACACGCCTGCAATAAACAAAACCAGCCATGGGGTCATGTCTTTGCCAAGCACAACCTGTGATGCTTGCGCTGGAGAACTTCTACCAATGTAAAGAAATTTATGACAATTTCTTTTTCTTTTTTTTTCAATGAATAAAGAAAAAGAAAATCATAAGCAGTAAAGCTAAGGAGATACTAACAGCTATGAATTATCGTAAAATTGTGGTTAGCTTTCTGCAGCTTTATATAGCCAAATAAATAAAAGCTGATTCTTCGTTATTACTAACCACACATCACAGTTCCTTTTATTTATTTCAATAAATAAGATCACAGAAGTACCTGACAAGATGATTGTTTGTTTGTTTTTTAGTGTTTTTACTAGAATTCTACATGCAAATGAGTTATTAAGTTGGTTATTTGGAGAGTCTTGTTTCCCGTTACTATTAAAAAAAAACATATTGCTAAATAAGGAAAAGAATTACATCCGTCATAAAGAATCGATGTTCTTATTCTGATACAGAATTAATACACCGATATATATATATATATAAATCTTTAATATAT